GGCTGAGGGGAGGAAGGGCAGAAAAGATGGATTTCTGCCCTCTAAGTGTTTCAACTTTCTTCTATTACTCCCTGAATTACGGAATGGTCAAGGAGGGTTGGCTGGCTGTACATCCACTAGAAAGGCAGATTCTAAAAAAGCTGCCCAAATTGCCACCTCTGGTGCACTTCTAGCGTAACATCCTCCCCTGGGCTATAGGCAGGGCTGTGACTATGACCTAGGATGCCGAAGAAAGTGTGCAGGGGTAATTCAGATCCAAGTCAGTTCAGGGAGAATTAATGGAAAGAGAAATTACCCTAGATGGTCTCACCTAACCAGGTCAGGGGGCACTTCAAAGCAGCGAGGCCCTTCCTAAGATACGAGATTTGAAGTAAGAGTGTAAATCTTACTTTGTGCTCTCCCACCATGTCTCCGAGTACCCTCGAAGAGGTAAGCTCCCAACGACGACAGGATGGGGTTATCTGCCAAGGACCTTAAAAACAGGCCTCAACTGACATTAGAACAGGGAACCCTAGGCGCACAGTCACAAAGACATGAGTTCTGACAAGAATGTGAGCTTGGAAGCAACCGATGAGATCAGAGCCCTGGCCAGCTCTGATTTCAGCCTACTAAGATCCTGAGAAGTTCTCAGGCTTTTGGCCCACAGAATCTGTAAATTAATATATCTACTTTAGGCAATTAAATTTCTAGCAATATGTGAAAAGGCAACTTAAATACAACTGCCATTCCCTACATCAAATCTGTGCAAAACTCTGAACAGTCGGGCACGCAAGTCCTCCACACAATGCTATTTGCCCTTGGAGACTCACCTCTCCTCAGTCATTCTGTCCTCCTCTACTCGCCCTTCACTCCGTCACACGCATCAGACCGAACAGCCCTGTGGACTACTCACCAAACCAGCCCCGGTAACGCAGCCAGATCCGCCTCCCTCACCTCACGCAGATGGGGGCAAGTCGCCTTGCAGCCTGACATGTCTTCCCTGCTTTCTGCATATTTCTTTCTTACATACCAGCCCATTTCCTCTTTGCTGCAATCCTCTTTCCCCATTAAGGATAATCTCAACATAACTCCTTTGAGAATTATCCTGATGAAAATTAATGAGTGCTACCTAACTTCTGTGCTTTCAGAACACTTTTGTTCTTCTATTACACCAATTACCACACTCCACTTTAGAAGGTGGTTCACTGCGCACGTACGTTTTCTGTTGAAAATGTCTGAGTAAGCTGCTTTTGAGCAAAGGCTATTATTCCCACCTCAGTGCGCTGCATTAGATACTTCCTCTCCATGTCTGCTGTGTGACTAAATGACAGGCAAAGGGGTAATCCAAGGGTCCCGCAGAGCAGCCAACTTCTGTCACCTGTACGGAACTTCAAAACGAGGCACAGTGCTCGAGAAGGAGCGAAGGACACACTGAAGGGTGACGTGAATGAACTCAAGGTCCCACGCTGGTCCCCAGCACATGAAGCTACCCCCAACACACACAGGTCTGAAGCTACAACCCAGCAAAAACCTTTTTCTAGTACAAAAACCTTTCTCCTTAGAACATCATTTCCTTTGTTTTTGTCTCATCTGAACTTAACTTTTCTCCCTCAAGCTTCTTCCCTTAATTGACGCTTCCGGCCACACAACACTCAGTGCTGCAGGGGCACCACAAACTCGTCCGTCAGGGTGGCACGGAGAGGCCTCCCTGTCCTCTCCAAAGGACCGTGTTTACACGGCCAGACAACACATTGCTAACAGCCCACGGAATGCTCCTCACCATCACACAGAAACCCCTGGGAATGAAGGTGGCTCCACCCTAGCGCCTCCCACACACTACACCACGGTTAGTGAGGCCTGGTTCAGAAACAAATTAAATGGCCAGCAAGGAAGTGGGGCAAAAATGGAGAAAACAGCAAAACTCTTTGCCATTACTGGTTTTTTTTTTTGTTTTCTTTTGCGGTACCGGCGATCGAACTCAGGACCTTGTGCTTGCCAGGCAAGCGCTTGTGCCATTGAGCTATATCCCCAGCCCCTGTCATTATTGTTGTAGTTTATTGCTCTGCATTTTGTCACAGTGTTTACACATGTTTATGTCACAGACAGGCAAGAAATATGTTGCTTTGTGTTAAAAGGTTAAAACACTGCCTCGCAGAGAGAAATAGGGTCATCTTTAAATCCTCACTGCAGTACTTAAGAAAACAAATTAAGAACAGTAACACATCCTGGAAGCACTAAAAAAGATACCTGAAACAAAAAGAAACAAGTTATAAAGTCGAAACATAAAACTCTGAATTTGGAGCTATTTAATATAGGAGGAACAGTCAAACAAAGCTTAACAGCAGTCACCACACCTTTTTATCTGCGTACAAACAACTAGTGTTCAAACTGTCCCTCTTTAGGTACACCCTTAAGTACCCTATTACTCTTAAATATCTTAGCTACAAAGAACTCACATTTTGCCTACATTATGGTTATTTTTTTAAGTACGTATTTGCCATATACAGTGATCGCATTCATCACAGAGAATTTGTACCTATACCTAATGTCTCAATTCTTTTGTTATTATGGCTATTTTTAATATCTGGTCTAAGCCCCATCTGACAGAGCTCTCTGAAAACAAGGGTTATGTCTTCTTCCAGTGTCCTAAGAGACCATCAGCATAGATTAAATGTAATTTTTATGAAATTTTATTTCGTTAGTATTACAAACTCAGGCATAATACAAACTTTTACTCCCAAATGTACAAAAATGGAGAAAAATTATAGAATCAATACCTCTATAAAACATTAACATTCACCAAACATTAATATGTAGAGAGAAGTATTTCTCTCTATTGACACTCATGGACACACACACCTCAAAACTATCACTCAGCTGTTAAAGAATGACATAAATAGGTGTGATCAAGAAATATGGTGAATATTGAAGTTTTAAAAATTATTACAGTAAAAAATACACCGCCATCCTTCTCAGAAGACCCCCTTACTTTGCACACACTGACCCAGTGCTCTTGCCTCTTTCTGAGGCAGTTCTGGAACCCTCTTTCCTGAGTGTCTTTACTTGCGCTTCCATGGCTGCCTTGGTGTCTTGAATCAATTCAAAACATTTACTTTTCACGGTCATGCTAACTTTGGAGAAGAGCCACAAGTTGCATAATGCCAAAACCAGTGAACAGGTGGATGAGGCTACACCATGATGTGTTCTGAGCTACCTTTCTGAAGGGACTTGGTAGCATCATTCACCACATTTTTTAAATCACATTTTGTAAAAACGAAAAACAAGACTTGCAAAATGCTTCAGAAAGCGGCATAAAAGTGTTCAAAATAAGGGGGAGCATTCTGAGTGGGATTAATGGTAACGTCTTTAATAACATTTTTTAATTTAAACATTCACCATGTATTTTTATCACATTTAGCAGCACAACACTTAATATCTAAATATTGTATTCCATTACACATGTCCTATGAATGAAACCATTTCCCTAACAAACCACACCATTATCACACCCGAGGTGGAAACAACCAACTGTATAACAACTATCATCCAATGAAACAAACATTTCCCCACACGTTACTACATAATTTCCACTGAGTTGTCAACAGGACTAAAAACTGCATAAATACAACTTTAAAAACATTCAGAATTAAGAGCATAATAATTAAAGCAGTGTGTTTTATAAAGTATTCTAAAGTAATTTTCAACATTTCACATGAAAACACATTACTTACACGTACTTAAGTTAGTTTTTTATACATTATAATACTTAAACCAGTCTTAAGTTTATAAACAGTGTAAATATCATTCTCAACAATATAAAATTTTTTTTTCTCTTTTTTTGAGACAGGGTTTCACTATGCAGTTCAGGCTGGTCTTGAACTCACTATGTAGTCCAGGCTTGCCTCCAACTCACAACGATTCTCCTGTCTCTGCCTCCTGAGTGCTGGGATTACAGGCGTGCATCACCACACCTGGCAATAATGTTATCTTTTAATCAAATTTTCAACACATCTCATCTCTACTGTAAATGCAGCTCAGATTTCACACACACAGGCTCTAGACCTTTCCTCTAAAATATATAACAGTGATAGTTTTAAATATTTAAAAGGTTATTTTTCATGATCAGAGACAAGATATTAAAATATCCTTTTTCTGGCAGGATTTGACTGAATTTTTAGTAGACTGCTTCTTTATGCGGACCAAAAACAAAACTACTTTGCATACAAAATGAAATTAAACTACTGTCTCTGAATTACTTAACAAATGACTGCCACATGGTTAACCAGTTTTTGGCTTGCTTATTAATCTAATAATCAACAGCCAAAAAATGACTTCAATAATAAAGGCAATAATCTTTAAACTATAATCTATAATTAACTAAGATGGATCTATAATTAACTTTTTGTAAAAATTAAATTTTGTAAAAAGCGGTTGATATATTTGATTACTGCTACCGTAAGGTTTTAACTATTACAAGTATCAAAATGGCAGATAATAATCAATGCGAATGGCATGCTTTCATATACTCCTAGAGTACTTCTTTCATGTTTCAACAGCCCCAACCAAGCTCTGGGGTAATGCAAACTTGACTTTTTCTTTTTCATATCTTCCCAGTATTTAGCAAAATAATGTTCTCTCTTTTCTCAATTAGGGGCTTTATTCTTTTTCATAAATTTCATAAAATTAACTTAGTTAATTATCATGTAAGCAGACATTAGATTTTTATTCAGAATATGCTTTTTCAATCAGGAGTTTCATTTTGTAAGAGCTTGACATTATGTGACCCTGACATTTTCTTTTTTATACATCATTAAGTTTATTAGTACAGTTCAGATATACACAATGATCTCATTCATCATATGGAACTTGTACCCATACATGATACACCCCAAAATTTTCTAATATTCAAATATTTAAACATATGCAACTAATAAATTTTTACAATAAAATGAGTTATATTCTATATTAAAAATCTGAAATCTAGTCAACAAACATCAATTGAAGTTGAAGTTTTTACTTACATTTGTAATAGCTATAGCATTTTTATCGTAGTACTTCTTCTTTTCATATTTATCTCTGATGAAAAATTCTACTGCTCTGAAAACAGATAACTTAAGGAAAACCAAGAGTTCAGTCACATGGAAATGTCCCTGTATTCACTATTCTCCATAAGGCCTACTGGCTAAGTTTACATTTCCTATTCTACAACTTGTGCTTCCTCTCACATTATTTCTGCAACTAAGTTCTGTAAGCTATTTTGTGTTCTCCCAAAGGTCGACTTCTTTCAGAGAAATTTCCCATTGAACAAAAAATGCCAAACCGACATTCAGAGAAAAAAACCACTGACTGCAACTCTTGAGTCCTCTGTTACCATCGTCACCCCCACCGCCAAACTCTAAATTCAATTCAGGTTCATTCTGCTAGGCATTGTCCTGTATGTTGTACATACTTTGTTTCCTTTATGTCCTCCCCAGTAATGTGTACATATTGCTACCTGCACATCATAACAAAGAATCAGCAACCTGAGAGGATTAAACTAGCTCGACTCCAACACCAATGTTCTTTCCCACTGTACAGATACCACAGTTATCAGAGAGAGGTGAAAACAGAATTCCTTCTCCATTAGAAGTGGATACTTTTTTACTTGCAAAGTTGAGGAATAAGAAGTCAACAAGCTAAAACATAAATTTCTGCTTATAAGAAATTTTTCAGAAAGTATCTAAGAAGAACCAATTTTTTAAAAATTATACAAGGTCCAAGTTGAGACACTGTTTTCAAGGATATAAAAGTAAAACACATAAAGAGAAGCACTCACTAGGACTTTCCTAATTATCAACAGAAAACATTACTTTTTTAAAAGCAATCAAATCACATCATAAAGTAAATTCTTTAAATTCTAATGGAATTGAAGGACTGTGATTTAAGGAACCTGGTGTCTGTCTAGCTGATCCCGGCTTCTATATGCCTCTTACAGCAAAAATGCCTCACACAATCTTTATGTATTCTTGTACAAAATCCCAAATATAAGCTTCACTGTTAGTTCACCTCAAGAAGCCATGGCTTACCTAGGGGTTAAACACACGTTTTCTTGAGGGGCAGATCTCATTTGAGATAGAAGATCAATAATACAATCTGGTTTTTATTTTTTTTTTTAGTACCAGGAATCAAACTCAGGACCTTGTGCTTACCAGGCAGATGCTTATGCCACTGAGCTATATCCCCAGCCCCAATAATACAATTCTAAAAATTAGAAATAAAACAAAGATATGTGAAGGGATCAAAGTAAGCAATATACTGATAACAGTTCAAATTTAAGTGACTGATTTGGGATTTATTAAATAAAATTCAAAATAGCCCAGAAACTTTTCTATGCCTGCTACAAAGCATTAAGACTTCTAAATTGGGGCTGGGGATTTAGCTCAGCGGCACAGCACCTGCCTGGCAAGTGCAAGGTCATGAGTTCGATTCCCGGTACCAGAAAAAAAAAAAACAACAAAAAAAAAAGACTTCTAAATCTTCCTATCACTAATACCGCTGATTAGGTGTGGTGCACAACAGACCTCCTGGGACTGAAGTAATTAAAATTTGTAAATAAGATGAAATATCCTAATAGTGAAAAGCTTAATGTAAAATTTTATCATGTCATGCACTAGCACATGCAGCCTATAATAAACCATATCCCCCACGAAAAATTACACTTTAACAACAGCTTTTGCTAACTTTTATGAACTGTAAAGCTTTTTATAAACAACAAATCTTGTGAAGACTATAATAAGGCCTGATGTTATATAAATTTAACTCAGTTTGGTTTCATTTGCCTCTGGAGAGATCTATTCATACCTACAAAAGTACAGAGGTGCTAGGCTCTTCAAAGAGCCATGAGCTTTAGAATGTTGAATGGATGGTGTAGAGGATTGACAACTGGTGGTCAACTTATAACCCCCAGCTGAACTGAGTAAGCGTGGTGCTGGGTGTGGGAGGCCACCTGAGGACTGTTGCCAGCAGCATAAGAGGCAGAACTGGAGAAGAAGTTAGGCTGTTGGGAGCTGGTAGAAGCTGTAAGAAGCTGCTGGTTCTGTTGGAGGAGCCTGTCATGCTGGCTTTCCTGATGAACTTGGCTTTTTTTATCCTCCAAGGAGCTCGGGGCCTTGTTGGCACTGAGAATAGCTTTGGTTCACTTTGGGGGAGCTCTGGTCCTCACTCTGAACATTGCTTCCTTGTTCCAGAGGGGAAGAAGGTGCCCAGCTCAGTCTCCTGAAGAAGCTTGCGGCATTGGCTTTCCTGATAAGAACTCAGCTGTCTTCACCGTTAGAGGAGCTCGGGACCTCACTATTGCTGAAGATGGCTGTGGTACCTTCTGCGGGAGCTCTGGTTCTTACTTTGAGGATAGCTTCCTGGCTCCAGTGCAGATCCCTCAGCCTGCTAGCACAGATCCTTCATCCCGCTTGCACAGACTTTCTAGATTTCACCACTGACCTCTGGGCCTTCCCTGCACAGATCCGTGAAACAGGACTGCATGAGATATTGTTATGGGCTCTGGCCCTCCAGTTGGATTCATGGGAGGCATCGTTATGAGCTCTAGATCTTCAGCTGGACTCATGCAGGTCATTTCTATGCAATCCAGGCCTTCGGCTAGATTTCTTGGTCTATAGTGTGTGGACAGATTTCCCGCACTCTTTTGTACATCATTCTTTGGGTGACTATTGTAAATAACCTTATAAACTATGTGTCCTGTACTACATTGTTTCTCCTTGCAAAGTAAGTCCCAAACCATAACAGATGGATTGATAGAAGGCAAGTGGGCAAACAGGCTGTTTTTCTTACTAGTCTCCCTAACAAAAGTTCCAAAACAGTGTTGGATAGTTAATAGGTGAAATAATAAAAATGTTCTTGTAATAGCGAGACCTTTTCGTGAGGAGGGGATAGGGAAGACAGTATGTAGTCCAGGCTGGCCTTGAACTCACAACCTTCTTGCCTCTACTTCCCCAGCACTGAGATTACAAGTGTGCACCACCACAATCTTCTCCAACTCTCAGGCTGAAGCAATCCCCCACACAGCCTTCAAATTGGGGCTAAGATGAGCCCCACCATGCCTGTGTCTGTCCATCTGTCTCCCTCCGTCTCTATCCCTCCCACTCCCTCCGCCAACCCCCTCTCTCCCTCCCTCTCTTTTCGAAAGGTTGTAGCATTACACTGCACAGGGAACTAATCTCATGGTTCAAGTTTTCATCTTATATTTTTAACATCGGTAGTCATCGCTCTCAAATATGTTTAGATGCAGTCCTTCTTTTAATAGTTCCCAAAGGGAGAAGCTGAAGTCAACATCAAATTTGAAATATTTAAGCTACTTCCACAATGCAGAGAATTAAGAGCGCTGTTGTGGGTGATGGTGCAACTGGTAAACATGTCTCCTGATATCCTATACAACAAACAAATTTTCATCTGAATATGTACTGTCTTGGTTACTTTTCTCTCACTTCTGAGATAAAATACCTGATGCCCAAATTAAGGAAGGAAAGGTTTATTTAGCTCACAGTTGGTGGAAGTTTCAGTCCATACTTGGCTGGCTCCAAGGCAGAGTGGCACAGGGCAGAGGGCAACAGTTCACGGTGGCAGAAGATGGCAAAAGCAACCAGAGCAAAAGGGAGGAAGGGCAGCAAGCAGCCTCTTTCCCTCCCTTACATATACAAACTATCCACCCCAGGGAAGGTGTAGCACTCACATCCATAATCCCAACACTGGCCTAGGTAGGGATCTATCAAAAATCTAGAAGCTCGCCCCATGACTGCATGAGGATTTGTGGGGGGGCGTGCAGACATAAACCACAACATGTACCAACCGTTTTTGACAACTACGCAGTCACAGTTATGATTGGTAGAGAGCCATATATTCTTGTGCATTTTGAACCGCAGGGCAAGTGGATTATGACAGATTACGACCACTGAGTTATCCACAAACAGATGTATTTCTAGTCAGTTCTTCAGTGGTCTCTCCATCCTCATTTGAAAATGTGAAAGTGGATGCCTGAGACAACTCACCACCATCCAAAGACTCCTTTCTTACTTGCTGGGACCCATCTCAGAGATGATCCCTTTACTTCTGAGAAACTTGCCAGGAACAAACAGAAACCTATCACTCCAGAGACTGCTGAAAAGCGGGCCTGCGATCTGAAGTCTGTCAAGTGTGTGGATGTTCTGTGCTCACATGGAAAGGCCTAAAGGATGTGTCTCATGAAGCAATATTGGCTGCCCTGGAGCCTCCAGAACTGAAGACGCACCGCAGGTGTGTGCTGCTATGAACACCTCTTCAGATGCTTTCTGCACAGCTGGTGTCGGCATCATACTAAAAGCAATGTTTCAATCAAACTAGAGATTAAAAATTAAAATTCGTTTCTGCAACAATGACAAATGCCCTGTACCTACCCACACGTACTCGTGTGAGAGAAGGCCGACAGGTACGTCCCCACCCTCCCAGTACTAGTTAATTGTGAGTAATTGTGACTGTCAGAGAAGTGATCAGCACTAGTTTTTGTTTTGTTGTTTCAAAAAACTTTTTCTGGTTGTTGTTTAAAAGTAAGGCACGTTAGTGAGGACTCTTAACAGACTAATTTGAGTTGTTGAAGCTGCTCCCTGGTTCCACTTTAGAGTAATCTAGGACATCTTAGTAATTTCCTTTCCTTTCTTTTTTCTGGTGGGGGGGGGAGTGGGGGGTTGTTTTTTAGTCTTGTTTTTTAAAAATTCATTAACCAGTCGTCAGCCCTTAGGGGTGGAGGATGGATTGATTCCACATTCCACTTCCCAGATCTAGTTTAGAAAAATATGTTCCCCACCTGGTACTCTTAGGAAGGAGTATAGTAAATGCCTCGTTTAATAACGTACTCCTTTTCGGAAGTTGCCTTTTCTCCCCTTGAATAGATCCAGTGTTTGATGAAACTCATGAAAGTGCGTGGAAGCTGTCTCGGCCCTCCTCTTTTCTAGGGTGCACTCTGTATGTGACTGATTTGTTTGCCACTTCCTGATTTTTTTTTTGAAGTTAATTTTAACTTGTTTCACTGATAAATGAAGAAAAGTATTGCACCTTTCGAAATACACCAAATG